TCGGAGTGGGGGGGGGGGCAAATGATGAGGGCGGATTTGGCATAGGTGCGACCTGGCGGCTTGGCATAGGTGCGACCTGGTGGCTTGGCCCTAGCGCGATTTGGCGGCCTGGCCCTGGCGCGACCTGGCGGCCTGACCCAGGCGCGACCTGGCGGCCTAGCCCAAGCACCGACTTTGCGGCTTGGCCTAGGCGTGAACTGACGAATTGATAAAAGACCTCCGCACTATGATAAGTCCCAATCGCCTCTTCAGCATGGGCATACAAGTTCCAGTCGCCTCCTTGGCATGGGCATACAAGTTCCAGTTGCCTCCTTGGCATGGGCATACAAGTCCCAGTCGCCTCCTTGGCATGGGCATACAAGTCCCAGTTGCCTCTTCGGCATGGGCAAAATCAAAGATCAAGGAGAGTGGACTATGAGTCGCTCCGACAGCCTAAGGGCTAAAATACCACATAAGACCCAGTTGCAGTTGCCTCTTCGGCATGGGCAAAATCAAAGATCAAGGAGAGTGGACTATGAGTCGCTCCGACAGCCTAAGGGCTAAAATACCACATAAGACCCAGTCACCTCTTCGACATGGGCAAGATCAAGGAGAGTGGACTACGAGTTGCTCCCAGAGCCTAAGGAATTGAATCGACGCTTACGAGCTCATCGAATTATTCATTATGGGCCAAAAGGAGAAATCTACTCCCTTTGTTGAGTTACTTTCGTCTCGGAGTGGGGGGGGGGGGGGAAATGATGAGGGCGGATTTGGCCCTCCAATGATATTGTGACACATGGCACCTCAAAACAACTAGGTGACACCCGAAACCACTTTGGCAACAACTTGGCTTAGCCAAGTTGATGGTGTCCCACCTGGCGGCCCAGGCGCGACCTGGCGGACTGGACCTGGCGCGAGTTGGCAGCCTAAAACAGGCACGACCTGGTGGCCTGGCACAAGCATCGACTTGGCGGCCTGGCCCTGGCGCGAGCTGGCATCCTAGCACAGGCACGACTTGGCGGCCTGGCATAGGTACCGACCTGGTGACTTGCAAGACGTGCTTGCCGACGAATTCGGCATGCATATCCAAACACTCCCACGATCCTTGGAAGTTGGCCTACGTGCCGAACGATCTGGAGGGTGGTCAACGTGCATGGCGGTTACCTCCAGGAATCTCGAACCACTTAGACGACCTCGCAGAAATCTCAGATATGGTGCATGAAGCCCACGCCAAACAATGCCTATATAAAGGCACCAACCCCAGAGGCGAGGAGGCAAGCAAGTAAGAAAATTCTAGCTCTCATACTTTGTGATTCTTAGCTCGCAGTCTACTACTATGAGAGTACTGACTTAAGCATCGGAGCGACCTCGCCGGGTTAGCCACCCCGAATCTTCTGACATTTGGTTCCTTGCAGGTCTCTAAAAAGCAACGAATCTCATCAATCCAGCTCGCCAGCTGGGCAACTCGCCACCTGGTCAGTCCGGCACCTCACAGGCAGCAATGCACCTGGTCAGCCTAGCGCCTCACAGGAAGCTCGGCACCTCACGGGCAGCTCTGCACCTGGTCAGCCCGGCGCCTCACAGGGAGCTCGCCACCTGATCAGCCCAACACCTCACAGGTAGCTCAGCACCTAGGTAGCTCCACTTCGGCCTCTGAGTCATCGGCCACTTGAAAGAAGATCAAATGACGAGGTAATTAGCCAAAAGATTGATACATGACAAAAAAATTGATTCATCATTTTTGTTGCTAATAAACTCCGGCAGCTGCAATCCAAGAGCTTCTTCCCAAGAAGCTCCCGATGGTAAATTTTTGGGCGTTAGCCTTGCTGACGACGTAAAAACCTGCCCAGTTTTTGTTGCTCGTGACATCAGCCTTGGCCACGCGAAGGTCGGTGACGCTGCCATAACAGCCAAGAAAGTATAGCATTACGCGACCGACGTCACTGCGCAGGGCGAGCTCGCTCGCCAGGTAGAGGTCTCCTCCTGGTAATCTGATTTCGCTGGAGGAGACATAGACGATGTGGGTGATGTATCCTACTGGTCTCCCCCATTCCTTGATGCAGGCAAGGCTTGCTTCCAGCGCCATTCCAGTACTGTTGGGTTTGCTATTTCGAGCCTTTGCTTGATCGTTGGTGAGCCCTCTTTTGTCAGTTCTGGGTACTTGTCTAAGATCTTGCGGCCACCACAACACCAGCTCGTAAAGTTGCACTGGGCGATTGAAGAAGCTTCCGATTTGCAGCAGAGACCCATGTCGGGAAGCCATCAGAAAGCAACCGGCGATTACCACCTTCGTCAATGAACAGAGCAAAGTATATTTCCTAATTTCTAAGAACAGTCCAGAGTAGGAGGTTTTTAACGGAGAGGGTAATTTTGTCTTGTATGATATATATGTCATATGGTGAATACACGTCATATATCAGTGCTCCTATCTAATATTTTTTTTTTCAAAAGATGCCTTAAAGCTGATATTTTCAAAGGATCATACCTTTGAATGACAATTATCGGTTATAACCCCAAATTTTAAAGCAAAATACAAAAGGGTACAAATTTTATATGAAATAGGAATACAAATCATAATTTCAAACAGATGCAAAATTGAATATCAAATTTTCAATCTAACTTGAATTTAGAGGTATAAATCGGGTCCTACTAGCACAATGGTCTGTAGATCGTACTAAACCCGGCAGGACTATACGAACTGTAAGTTTTAGGTTTATGGGCCSATACGGCACGACACGATAAGAGGGCCGCGGATTTACACAGAAAACTAACAGCGCCGAATGTTCATACAAATGGGCAAATCATGTTACATGTATAATTGTATATATGTCCATACGCCAGTAGGTTGATTCACCGGTTGGACCACCACGGGTGGCCACTGAACATGGCCGATTTGAAGATGATGAGAAACCGGAAAACCGCCATAAAGATTCGATGGGCCACTCGGGTTAAAGGTTGATTCCAGTTTGGCTACGAACATTCTAAGTTGGCCTTGGGTTGGGTGCGACGCAATTCAGCGACAGCGAGCAAGCGAGCAGCGATCGAGCGAGTCTGCTGGAGGCAAAGAGGGAGGATGTCTCTGGTTGATTATGCTTCTTCCTCAGAAGACGAGGCCGAAGTCAAAGAAGAGTTGACAGATCGACAGGACAGCCTTCTGCCTTCAGCTCCTGGTTCTCATAACCCGTAATTTTCTTCCTTCCCTCATTAATTTTCGCAGTGTTTCCCTTCTGATTCAGTTTGTGAAGCAAAGTAGAGAATTTGGATTCTGGCTTTTTCTTCTTCTTCTTCTTCTTCTTCTGGTCCTTATCTTTGTTTATTTTTTTTATTTTCTTTTGTAAAAAAACTTATGAAGACTCTGGGGCTTAGGGTTTTGATTGTTTTTTCTTCGGTTCGCTGGCTTCGATATTAGGCAAATATTTTCTGTTCATTTCGTATGCATTACTTGAATCAACGATGATACATGGATTAAAATGTGATGTAGGTAACTTTGCTTGGACTTGGTAGATTCTGAAGCTGGATTGCATGGTCTTTCCATAAACAGAGAGAAATGGGAAGGGTTAGAAGCGAGCATTCAGTTTCAATTGTATGGGTTTTGCAATTAGGGCATTCTGGCTAAAATAGAGTGGATGAAGAAGATTGGTGTAGAGATTGCATGTTAAGGCGAAGAAGAAGTTCTAATGACTAAATGGAGATAAAAACATAAGCTTAAATGCTCAAAATTAGATAAGGTGCAAACCAGTAATAGTGAAGACTGAAGAGTATCATATAGTAAAGAAAGAAAGGTCTCATGCTTACGTGAAAACCGTATTATGCATGAATGCATTTCATCACTGGAGCTACCTACTCGGCCCTTTGGCCTTACATATAAGACTTGATTTGAACATTTGAAGCGACAAAATGTTCATATCTGGAATTGCTGAGGAACATATTTGCGTTAGAGTGGAGTTTAGAGCTTTCCACTTCTTAGAAGTACCACCCGACTATAGAACTGGTTTAAGGATGCTCTACCCAGCCAGTCACTGCAATTATAAGCAAAATACTAGATTCAATTAGAGAGCAGTACAGTACTGCAATTTGCAGTTGAGGGGGGTACCCTATCTGGAACTCTACCTTGCTCGTGGCATTTTTTAAGAATAAGATGAACCAAAGTTTTTCGAAGCAGATAAAATTTCTGCTTAAATTGTAGGACGTATATCTTTCCAGTAAAGTAGCCGTATTTATATTACTTCCTTTCATAACTACTCCAGTTTCTGGAAGAATCAAAGAACTTCATATGAGATGCTGGATTACAACTGGAATTCTGGGCTGGGAGTCTGGAGATGCAGATTCCATAAGGTTAAGTTCTCCTCAATGGTGTAAGGATGATAAAGCAGATCAAATACCAATCTCTCGTCATTGAAGATAGCTCAGCTAGCACCATAATTTGTAGGCAAAACATGGGCAGAGAGGGTTTTTTGAATGAGATTAAAGAAATAACTACACTCTTTATCTTGTAATATATTGATCCATAGAACCTTAATGTAATTGCTGCTGGGATTTCCAGATAACGGGAAGAGAGGGTTTTTTGTATAACGATAACTCTCTCCCATGTGATTATTCTGTATGTTCATGTGAAATTAATAAATATATTTCAGCTTTGGAAGAACTGGAGATCATACCTAGCTTCCACACATTGAGAACCAGGGCTTTCATTGTTTACAACGAGTCCTAGAAAGCTGTGGGTCTTTTATGCACGATATGCAGTTAAATCGAGTTTAGTCAGATGAAAACCTAGTGCTTCACTGAATATTTTGTGTTTGCAGGGGCTTGATATCTTCATCATTTCAGAAGCTAGATGGTGCCTCAAATTTACCTGCACCTCCAATTGAGAAGCTTCCAGATGCTTCACTCCTTCTCAATTCACCTATTTTCTCATCTCATCAAATAAGTGGCAGTGACCACACATCTAGGGTTGCAGCTGCAATGGCGGAAAGTGCATCAAGAAAGAGAGAATCAAATGGACCTGCTTCCTCATATCCCCGGAGTAAAATTCCTAGAGGGAACCTGCGTTACTCAAAAAGTGTGCCAGACACTGTAGGTGGGCTTCTAGTCCCACCACAACTTCATGGAAGGTTAGCTTTTACTTGCATGAATTCCATAAAATGGAGTTAGGTAGACTTCACAATATGTAGTCAAATTTCTTACTTTGTCCAGCCAAACATGAGCTTGCTAAGTGTCCAATATGAAAGAAAACATAAAATATGAACAAGTACACATGAATAATTGACTTTTAGGCTGTTTGATTGCATGTAAAATGAATAATTTCCTTGGAACCATTGCAAGGATAAGAAGGAATCTTCAAGGAACCATCACCCTGGCTTTCAATATCCTATTGAGTATCATTTTCCAAGGAAATTGGTAAAAAAAAAAAAGACAAGGCAAAAACAACAAGCGCATCACAAATCTCTCCAAGCTTTACATCAACAAAGCGTACTTGCTGTACACATCTCAACTTTCATGATGTTGGATCTATCAACAATGCAATTAGACCTGGCAATTGGGTTGGGTGGGTCGGGTTCGGGTTGGGTCAAGGTACTTTGGGTTGATTTTGGGTCGGGTTGATTACGGGTTGGGTTGTCAAATGCTAGACCCTAACCGTAAATGTTCGGGTTAGGGTTGACCCACGGGTCAATTCGGGTCACCCCAAAAAATAATTGAAATTTAAAAAAATAAAGAAAAATTACATGAAAATGTCAAAATTAAAAGAATTAACCTTAAAATTCCAAATATAAAATAAAAAACTTGAATATTTAACAATTTAAAGAGTAAACAATAAAAAGTAAAGACTAAATAGAAAAAATTAAAGAGTGGAAACTTCTAACAATGCATAAATAATCCCAATTAAACTTGACAATCGGGTCAACGGGTTGACCCATGACCCAACCCAATTTTTTCGGGTCAGGTCGGGTTGGATTCACAGGTTGGGTCAACTTTTTGCCAGGTCTAAATGCAGTCATCTGTAGGAATCCATCTCAAAATTATAATGTAGGAACCAAAGAAGTCTTATCTCATTTGCATGTGATAGTTTCCATGGACATCTTCCAAACATAAAATAACACAATCAATTTCAACAAGAAAAAATGAGGTTCAGCTTAGGTAGACCACTAAAACTTAGAAGAAGAACAATTATCTCTACCTCTACAGAGTTGGTCTAACCTGTTGGACTACCTAAAACCCAAATGATATATTCCACCCTATCTGAAATATAGCTGATAGCCCCCAACCATAGAAACGGAGGGTTCACAAGAAGCTTCCATTGAACCTCAAATGGGCCTCCTGTATAAACAGGTTTCCAATAAGAAGCCGGACCATCAGGGGTTGGTGAAGCCTTAAAAACAACTGAAAGCTTCCTTAGAACTCTTTCATAAATGGTTTGGGTAGAGGAAGCCCTCCTTACTGGTGGGTGAGTGGGTGTCATTATTTATGAGAAAGAGAGAGAGAGATAGGGGGGGTTATGTTTTCAATAGAAGGCACTTTGTTTCTTTTTTTTTTCCACATACCACAAGGTTAAACGGTTTGGATAGAGGAAGCCTTCCTTACTGGGGGATGTTTTCAATAGAAGGCATTTCACACCACAATGTTAAGAAGGAATATTCTTAACACCACAATGTTAAGAGGATATTTTTTTTTTGAAAGGTAAATAAGTTTTTAAGAAAAGTTGGGATAGGTGTGGGGAAGGTGAACGTGTGAACCAATCCCAAGCCAATGAAGAACTACACAACTTTACCAATTGAACAAACCAAACCTCCGATGGAATTACCATTTTGCCTTAACAAGGATAATTTTGTGCAAAGTATCTGTCACTGGTATAACATGACACCCTTGTTTACCCAATCAAGCTATCAGTTTTCAGCCCTTTGTCTCCATTTGCTGTTTTCCTTTTTGTGTTTCTTTTTTTTTTCCTATTAATGACCTAAGAAATTTTGTTGATGTAAATAAAATAGTTCTATTTACAATAGGATCCTTTGTTGAGCTTGCAGTAGCTAATCTGACCAGCCCATACTTTTCACTTTTTCAGTTTGCGTACAATATTAATTGATTGCACCCCAAAACAAATGATCTCTGTTTACCCCTTGTTTTGCTAGGAAATCAGCCAGGATCTAAGCACCAATTCAAAGGATACCACCCTAACCCTTCCCAATTGCTTTATCTCCCTCAATGTATGTTAATACTGCCATGTTCCTCGATCTTCATCAAGCAGCCATCCTTTATTACTTTGGAGGCCCCTTCCAACACTGTTTCTTAGTTGCTTTAGTATGCCCAACTGCAGCCCTTGTAAAATAGCAAGTAATGTTGGCTCTTAAATCCCATAGGTCCTAAGTATTCTGCTAGTGTACACCTATAATGGTTTCTGAAGACCCTTCTATACCTGAATTACCTGGATACCCATGCTGCACCCATCAAAGTTCAGCTTTGTCTTCATTTTGATGTTGGTTTTTTCTCAGAGGCTTTCTTGTGTGGAAAAAAGGATAATAATAATATGTATTGCTTTTGCAAAGCATGCCTTCTATTAGCATTTTGACATCCCTGTCCATTATAAGGTGTTGTTTGCCTTTTAAAAGTGGAGGAGAGCCTATGACATTTTACTTATATGAGTCATTAGATGTTGTTGGTAATCATCTGCATAATTTGTCTTATTTTCAATTGTCAACTAGATAAATATATTCTGTAATTAACCAGTCCTAGTCTAATCTTCATTGCGTGCACACAAAACAAAACTAACCTTGCATTGAGTATGGTCAGGTGCCTAGAAACATGGTTCAAAGTATCAATACACCCAATATGCACAAACATGCATATTGGGTGCTTCGATACTATCAAGAACTTTTTTTTAAATTTTTTTAATTTCAGATTTTCACAAGGGGGCAGTTTAACCATTATTCAACATTTAAAAATGGGAGATTCTGGAAAAGCCTTAAAAAAGTCATATTGGTGACCTCCTGATCATAGTTTTCAAGGTGCCAAGGCGAGGCTAGGCGGCAGGGGGCGCCTTGTTGCCTAGGCGGGCACCTAGGATGCCTAGGCGATGGATTTTTTTTTTTATGTAGAAAACATAGATCCTAGGGTAGTTCCCTAGGTACCATAACCATATTTCCTTAAGAATTATTCATAATTTTCATAAGAAAAGTATAGAGTTCATGTTAAAGTATGTAAAAACAACATATTCATGAGAAGAAAAAGAAGGAAAAGAAAATTCAAAAAACATTGGGGCTGAACCCTTATTTTTGTTATAGGAAAAGAAGAAAAGAAAATGTGTTGATTAGAAAGTATGTAGTAGAAAATGTGTTGATTAGACAATTTTAAGTTCTTCAGGTTTTAAAGTCTTTGGGGGTTTAATATAGCATTTAGCAATGTTTATATTGATTAAACCTTAACAAATAAGAAAATAATAAAAAGAAATTAGTATACAAACACACAAAATGAATATTTTAGTTTAATAGTGCCTATTTTATAATTATAATGTCAAAAAATAAAGAATAAAAAAGTATTTTATAATACATAGTACAAAACTGTTTGGTGATTAGGCAAGGCTTAAAGGGTGCCTTGTCGCCTAGTCGGCTTGACAACTATGCTCCTGATATGATATGATACGCCTGATATGGGGCATAACATATTGAAAAAGGGATTTTTTTTTAAGTTGATTGATTGAGGCTTGATTTCTGCTTGAGTTTCTAGTTCTTACATTTGCTAATTTTTACATTTTGCTAATCGGTCAAAATCTAGGTAATTTCTTTTGCAGCAATCAGATTTTGTTCTTTCAAAATCTCTATAAGATATTTCTGAAGTAAAGAGATACGATACCTGATGATGTTGGGTTGGGCTTTTGGCAGGAGCAACACTGTAACAGAAGACATTGGCAAGCTGTTTGTAAAAAGACATCCCGAGTCCACCTCTCTCTAGTTCTCTAGAATCAAGATTCACTGGCATTTGCTGAGATGTGATATTTACTGTTATCATCTGGAACTAACACCCAACAAGCATCTTGTTCAGAAAAAAAGTCTTGAATTTGTAAAATATGTTCGTTTATATTTTTTTCTCAGTTAACAACTTTTCAGTTGTTTTGGGATCTTTGGCGACAAAATAGAAAATGAAATCAGCCCATTTTTCTGTTCATAACATTTGATACAGCGTGGGGAGCTTGGGTGCTTTTGTTTTTGGGTCATGGAAGCTCAGTAATTTACAAAGCTAGTTTGGTTACCAAACTTTGGGAATGGTGGTTACTCATCGCAAATGACGAAAATGTCTCACTCCATGTTGCTCCAAACTTGAAAATGGCTCAGACCGTGTGTGATTGGGTATATTCGTGGCCCTATTTCTCTGGTAGGTGGAAGCCAATAAACATGACGCCAACGGTCGGGTCTCTGAAGGCCTGAGGAGGGATGGGTTGGGGAAGATAGAAAAGTGGCCGGACCCCTGTATGGGCTGTATTACACTATTATGTACCCTCCAAAGAGGGATCGGGCTGCTGTAGTTCCTGTTAGGTAAGGTTCAAAATATCAATATGCCGGTAGAGGTGCATTGGGCGTTTCGATATTTGTATTTTTATTTTATTTTATTTTTAAAACTGATTCAGGGGAATCGGTTTAGGATCCCTTCACCCACTGTAGGGGCGTATCGGAAGGGTCCCGGAATGATATGTATCGGCCGATACAGGCCAATATGTAATGATATTTTGAACCTTAGTTCTAGGTCTGTAATTTGAGGAAGACAGAGATATTTTGAATTTGAGACTGATAACCTCTTTTGAATGGAAATGAATTTATATGAAATAGTTTATAGAATCTTCTTATAACCAGGTGGCAACTATCAACCACTAGTTTCTGTACTTCTGTATAACTGCTTGATAATCTGGGTTGGTCATCGGGCTAGATTGATTAAGTAGATTCTGGCTCAAGATGGGTTAAACTGGGTTTGGCGGTTTGCATGTCTAATGCTCACAGTAGGTATACTCGCAAATTGCAATGCCTCCTTCAGAGTTTAGAACATGCTTGGATGAATGCTAAGACTGAGATGCTTTGAACACTGACGCTATTGAATGCGTCGTATCAATATTTTAAACCTTGACGGTACTTGAATCAAGTAAAATATTAAGTATAAAAACTGTTGCTCAATAATACTTAGTATGTGTTTGGTTCCATTTACGTTTTTTCATTCAATATTTGTATTTTATTTGTTGATAAAATCGAGAAAGGTAATAATTATAATTGTTTATAATAATTAGATGCTACTAGGCACTACATCAGTGTAACAGTGAAAGAACGCATAACCATTTGTGGAAGCTTTAAAAAATAACTTTTCCAAATGGTAGGCATGCATAAAAACCAAAGTCCACTTTTATCATTCTCGATGCATACGGACGAGCATGAGAGAGGAACTACTGAAGTGGCACCTATGTGGTAGCGTTTATTGAATAAATGCCCATAGAACCAAACACCCTCTTAATCTGCCAACCGTTCCCCTTTTTTGCATACCAATCTTTCTATCTCTTTTAAGTCAAAAGGCTGTGTTTGGCTTGATAGAAAATGAGAGAAACAAAATATCAACGGAAAATGGTTCAACTATGAAATAGAAAAGGTATGATATCTAAAAAATGTTTGACTAATCAACTGGAGTTATAGATAAATAGCCAATCAGGTATTATTTATCAAAATTCATGAATGTATTTTGATTGATCAAAAAACTCTTTCGATATCATATCTTTCCTGCATCATAGATTTTCCCCAAATATAGCCTAAAGAGCCCTTTCTGTCCTTTACTTATTTCCCATGCCTCTAGATTGTAAAGTATGATATCCAAGATATACCTGTATAAAGGGTGCTGAGTTGTCTAACCAATTCACCCTATTTGGCCATGTCTTAGCCATGTCTGTGTAAAATAGGTTGTAAGCTTGGCAACAAGATGATAACTACAAGGTCTAACATATTGACAAAAATAGGGTTAGGCATCCCCATTAATATATTGACAATAATGTATGATGATAAGAAAACCCTCCCTCCCCATTAAATGACAAAAGTTGCACTATTATGTAATTATATTTTCAATGTACTCTTTATTACATCTACCATTCTTTTCATGACTTTTCTTTAACCTCAAACTTGAGGTAGAGGGGCGGCTACCATTTTATTGGCCATTGAAAGGAAAACAAGCACAAGGGAGAACTTAGCCAGCCTATTGGCAAGCAGGTCAGAGCAGCAGTTTCCTTCTCTCAATGTATGATGAGAGGATTTAGTTTACATGTTAAATATAAACTTGTTGATCAAAGCAAGAAATCAAATTTTCTTCTTAGAAATATGACACTTTGTTTGTTTGAAGTCCATCTCTCATTCCTTCCTTTGTAGCAGGATTTTCAAAACTGGATTGGATTGAGCGGTCAGACCGGAAAAACTAGGAATTGGTCAGGTGACCAATTTTGTTTTTCTTCAAAACCGAATTTTTGCAAAAAACCGTTAATTTGGTCAGCAAATCGCTGACCTGGGTGGTTGAACCATTTGAACCATTCGAACTGTTGAAAGCAGAAATTATGCACACCTGCAGATACATTGGTAACATCTCCATATGAGTTTAAAGTAAATGTATGAAAGATATTCTTGACATGCAATTGGGTTCCATGTGTGTAGCTTGTAAGAGATCTGGGCTCGTTTCAAATAGAATAGAAAAAAAAAATTATGTAATTCTCTCTCTCTCTCTCATTTTCTTTTGGTCAAGGGATAAATCTATTTAGAAAAATGTCTACTTGAAAATAGCTAATGTTACAAAAATGGTTGGTTCCAATCCACAATCTATTATATATAAATTTTTTGATACATTATTATATATAAATTCATAAAATATAAAAATAGATTGGATTGGGATTGAGTTAAGCAACATCCAAATCCCCCTTCAGCTTCATTTTTAAAATAAAGAAAAACTAACCAAAAGTTAATTATTTTTAGTTTATATATAACAAATTACTATCATTATGTATTTTTTTTCAAAAAAAGTATTATATATAATATAATATATAAAATTATATTTTTTAATATTTATAATTTTGATTGGTAACCAATCAGGTGAATTTCATCAAATTTTAGGACAAATTTTTTGATTGGTTAAAGCTATTTTGGTATCATACCCTTCTATATCATAGATTTTTCCATATTATAATCAGAATCACATTTGAATTGGATGGATGTAAAATGTGGACTCATCCTAAATAGGCATAACACTATTATGTGAGACTTTTTATAATTGAAACAAAATATACCTTAAAAATGCCTGTGTGAAACTAATTACAAAGGTTGATAGTTGAAATCTCATCATATTTGATGTGGCAATTAAGGATTAAAATATTGATATGATATGTTTGGATATCAGACATATTGATATTTTAATTCTTGGTGATAATATATATATTTCTCGTCAATTTTATTGATTAATCCAAAAGATTTCAGTTAGAAGAAGCATCAATGGCACCAAATCCAAGCTTAACAGGTTTTGAAAATCACATCTATCACATATCTTTTACATGTTTATATGAGTATTTTTTTGTATACATAATCTCTTGAATAGGACCTAATCCCATTCATCAGTGCTGCCCAAATCAGTTGAAAGAGCAAGGTTTCGAAGTGTCAGCCAATTGAGTGGTGGCTCAGTTGGTATGTTAGTTGGATTGTCTCAGCGGATGTCAAATTTAGAAGAAAGTTGTTCATGTGTTGCTGTGCTATGCCCTAAAAAAAGGGATAAAAAGAACACGGATAGGTCCGATGTAGATTTCTGATTTCCACTACAGAGTTATAAACATTCAAAATGTTAACAATCCACACTTTATGCATCAACGTCCGCTCATAAATTGACATCAATTCCGAATTGGCACCTACCCCAACAATACTTTGGGCCTACAAATTCTAACCCTAGACTGAACCGTTATTCTCCCTAAAAAGAATTACAGTTCTATGGGGAAAAAACCCCTATTTTGAGGTACTTATTTTTAAGCACTTACTAAATAAAAGTGATTATTTGAGGGTGAAACCACATCAATAAGCACTTATATGCATTTGTAAGATGAGCCCAAATGGGTGCTTTCTTTTTATTTTTTTGAAAAAAACCCATTTTGAATAATCACAAAAATTTTTACCTTTGTTAAAGAATTTTTTTTTTTTTTGAAGCGCTTGTCATGTTTCTAGCCATCTCCCAATGTAATTTTCAAAATACCAATACTATCCCATTTAAACGAAATGATTTTTCACCAAACACTCGCAAAGTCACAAGTACTTATTAGGATAAACACTATATACTGTAAAAACATGATAATTTGGCCACATATTTGGAATATCTCGCCATGACATGACATGTAGGGAAAATATTCCCAATATGCGGCTGGATGATATGTGATCCGAGCTCGACAAGCTTATTTCAGTGTAACATTCCCCTACCAAAATAGTTAAAAACAACTCTCTATCTCCTGATCCTGTTTCCTTAGTTATAACCGTTGATGGATGTATGCACCTTGCCTTCTCGAGGCATGTCAGAGCATCCGACCATCCACATTGTACGTGTCAGCAAAGTGGGGACATCCCCTTATCAGATGGATGGTCCGAAATACAACAAAAGAAAACATAAGATTTCTGTCCATCAGATCAGGATCTCCCAACCGACCTCTATCAGATAGATCCACGCAAAAGACCAAAATACCCCTTTCTTTCCTTCAAAACTACACAAGATTCGTCACTTTCCCAAAATACAGGATCATCTGAACGTTCTGTGAGCATAATACAATTCTATTAATCACTAAAAACGTTCATCGAAAGCAAATGCTAGAAGCAGAGAAACAGACACCTCATCTTCCTCCCCTCGTCCTACCTACATTCCCAAAAATGCTTCTGAGAGCAGCAGTAAATGATGTGTTATTAAAAAACTGGAGCAATAATAAAACAACCATCTTCCATTAGAGCTTCAATGCGAATCGCCTCCGCAGAACCAGGCTTCTTCTGCAACAATAACATCAAGAATGTCTTCAGCCTTCTTCATATCCTCTCTGGTCGTGCTGTGGTATTCATCCAACATTGGGGTTCTTCTCCTTAACAAGTACTTGCTCTCCAATTATGGGTTCAGATTCCCAATCTTCCTCACAATGTGCCATATGACTGCATGCGCCGTTCTCAGCTACATTTCCATCGTTTTGTTCAAATTTGTCCCTCTTCAGGCGGTTAAATCTAGGACCCAGTTCTTCAAGATCGCCACTTTGAGCGTCGTCTTCTGTGGTTCGGTTGTCGGTGGCAACATCTCCCTCAGGTTTCTGCCTGTGTCTTTTAATCAGGCTGTCGGTGCCACGACCCCGTTCTTTACGGCCCTCTTTGCTTACTTTATGACCTTTAAGCGGGAGGCCTGGATAACGTATGCAGCGCTGGTGCCGGTGGTTACCGGAGTGGTGATCGCTAGTGGGGTATGGTTAATTCTGTTGAATGGCCGCTCAAGTTGTTAGATTTTATGCTTTTCTTGCTTAATGTTGAATAACTGTGCATTTAGTCCATTGGTGTAGGTAATTTTTTTCTTTGTATTGTGATGGGGTGATTCAATAATTGTAGTTTGGTGTATTAGTTTTGAGTTTATTTTGGTGATTGTCTTCGGTTCTTCTTATCCTTCTTCCATTGTTGATGTTACTGTCTACTTGACTCTAGTGTTAATTATGTGTTCCCATTTGATAGTTTAAGTTATAGATCTGGAATATTTTATTGAAGTTTTTTTGTTTTGGATGGTTCATGCTATCTTCAAAGCTAGTAGTTGGCATCTCCCTGGGTTGGGAAGAGGTCTAATTTCTTAAACCAAAAGATCTTGGTTATAGTCTAATTCTGTAGCCAACATTTCATTTCTCCAGTCACGATTTTATAGTGCAAAATAATAATTATTAATGGTGCCTGGGGAGATTGTCAGTGTTGGCTGCAATGATCTACTCACTTGATAGAATCAAAAAGGCAGGACAGTATATGTAGTAGCAAATTATTGAAGGTACGTTTCCTCTTGTCCTGTAGGAGCATTTAGGCCCATGCAAAAGGTCCAGCTCTTACCCTCAATGGAGGGAGTCATCAAATGCAGTTCTGTGGTGGTTAAATTGGTAATCTTTTGCATAGGTTTAGGGAGCATCCTCGTAAACCATGAGTGGGGGATTGGGCTTTTACTGGTCCAGTTAAAGATGCTGTTTCTACAAACCTAAAATCATGGTCACCTTAACTGGAGCCTGCTTTCATACAAGGTTGGAAATTTTTGCTTCTGTGAGGGTTCATTTTAAATGGAGAGCTTAACTTCATTGCCAAATAGTCCAGCTAGACTATGCCATGGAGAGGGTGCTTTTTTGTGCAGCAAGAACCTTACGCCTTTGTGAGCTTTTGTAGAATGAGAACTAGGACTATATAGCTATGCTTTTAGTAGATCTAGTTCTATCCCTTCTGATGTATATTGTGTTTCTTCATCAAAGTAGTAAAAATTGTTCAAAAAGAAAAAAGAAAAAAAAAAAGAAAAGAAAAAAAACGAAGATACAGTTACCTATTCTATGGTAAGTAGGTCAAATTCCCCATGCAGTTCTTGTTCTTCATGAAAATTTGAAATGAATCTGAAGTTTTACTTGAAAGTATTTATGCAAATTGTTGTGGTAAGATGCTTAAGTTATTGATCCATATCCATTCACATGATTTGAGAAATGGACTTATATGAACTTGTGTCTGAGAGTGGACACTTTGTGCAAGAAGAATGCCAAGCTTAAGTCTGTGTCCGGTCCACCCCTCCCAAGACCCCAGCTCTTATATGAACTTGGCTCTTCCTTCTTATAGGAAGTATTTTGTAAGTTTTTTTAAGGCTAGTATAGGCAGTTTCTGAACAGCGGGAGTTAACAACACAGAATCCTTCCAATGTCACACAGCATTTTGCTTTGATAAGAATAACCACTTTGTTAGTGTTCACCAAAACGGTAAATTCTAAGATTAAGGCAGTTGAAATGGTGTAATGGCATTCCATTCCTCTAGTGCACAGTCAATGCTTTTGATTATTGCAAATGCATATAATTTATTTGACTATGATGGTTGAACAAACTTCTGTGTAAGTAATGAGTTCATGGAGAAGCAAACTTAGATTCAAGTTGTGCCTGTCTATGAAAGAGCTAGCTGACAAGTGGATATATATACCAAATTACCTAAAAATAGTTATTTTTTCTACAAGGTTTCAGCAGCTGATTGCAATTGATCCTATTATTCATCCTTTTTCTTGTCCTTTAGTTTTTAGTAGTTTTGACATTTATCATATGAACATAAATACCTTGATTCCATTCTCTATGCTTTTGATGAGTAGTAATACTCTACTCATAAGCATGTCACCTTCTCTACCATAACTAGGATGTTGCTTGAATGCTTGACATGTCAGATGGTTAATGATGTACATGTATTTGGTATTTAAACTCTTAATTTTACCTAAATGTATCTGTAATAACATGACATATGTGTTTCAGATTGTCCAAATTCCTAACCCTTTTTCTGTTCAAAGTTTTGATGGGTTGGGTGGAGAAGAGCCAGGATATGGTCAAAAAGAACATGGATTGAGGTAGTGAGAAATTATTTTAGTGCTTTCTAGTTAATTGTTGATTTGATCCTTAATAGAGTGGAACAGCAAAACAAGACCTGTGTATAGCATTAGATTTTGTCGAGTTGGTTGTAGAAACTCCAATCCACATAAAGATACTTTATTTGTCAAACAATTCAAATTCATAGTGAAATGGTTGAAAAGGGCTTGTGTATGGTTGGGATAAGGCTTTGTTGAGTTGGTTGTAGAAATCCAATATGCAGACTGGAGACTGCACAAAGATACATTGTTCTGGTAAACAATTTGAAAATTTCATTGAAACTTTTCTGAGGATTCCTTAGAAATTAGCATGATCAGATCCTTAATATTACCTGCAATAGTTTGCAGGAGCCTGCTCATAGATCCCCAAGCAACTGCACCTGTTGAATCACCCTGAAGGCCTCAACTACTGGAGGCAAATTGAAACACCAACAGAGTTAATAGGAGCTTAAGTGGGAACATTCCGCGATGTCCATTAGAGTTTATCATAAAATCAGGTGGGATAGAATCTTTAAAAATGATGGTATCTCTAACGATGCCAACTATGCTAGCTGGACCAAGATTGTATGGGGGAACTACCATATAGATGGGTTTCAGCAATCCACCCTCTGGTTTCTTCCAACATTATTTTTCTTCATTTTGGGGATCTGCATTGGTATATTACTATCCAAATACTCTTAAAAAATACTCTTCTATCTTTTGATAAATTTGCTTATGAAATATTTCTCCAAAATGCTTTTTTAGATCTGACATGTTGGTTTTCTGATGGATTTATGAAGACAATCCCCTATTTGGTGGCAGGGTGAACCAGGTTTTCATTTGTATGGATTCATTATGTGCATAAGTGCAACTGCTGCAAGGGCCTTCAAGTCTGTTCTTCAGGGTGTCTTACTTTCTTCTGAAGGGTAAATGTTTTTTTTTTTTAAATATTTTTTCAGTTAGCACTTTTTATTCGAAGTAGTTCATTTTTATTTATTTTCCTGAATATTGCTTTGCTATTTAAGAATCTTGGTCTGTATGATATCATATTGGAACTATAGTTTTAAACAATAACATATTTCAACAAAACTCTTCACTGCTATGCTTTCCTCAACTCTTTTGTTTGTTTATTTTTTCTTTCTTTCTTTTTTTTTTTTTGAAAGGTACAGATAGTTTTATTAGCTATAGCAAAGGAGGCAGAGCTGCCTCAAAACACAGATACAACTGATAACAACACCTACAAAGGACCCAGATACAGATCAGTTGCACACACACACACACATATTTATCTTCCTTATGCCCTTTGTTTCTGTTTTTCCTTAAATTTCACAATAAGACATGGTGTGGTTCCTCTAATTTATAATCTTCTATCTCTAGTGCAGCACCAAGTGCAGCATAGTAAATGGCACATACTTAAAGGTGAAACAGTTTCAATTATGTCTGTAAAAATACCACTTTCTAAGAATTTTAGAACATCAAAAGGGTAGATTGGTTGTTGTTTACTTATTTCAACTGAACTTAAGATCTAGCATTAAGAATTTCGTCTTTTGACCAAAAAGAAAGAGGTGGAATACGTCAGAGAAAGTTCACCTAATAAAAAGGGATTTCTGTAATTGGCATCTATTTTGTTAAATTGTTCATACGAAATTAAGAACCATGTTTTTTATTTTATCTGGAGATATCCAACAATGGTTTCCATTGAATTAATAATTGATCTGCATCCTAAAAAAATAGGGCTTTCAAATAGGCATGAGTGATCAAATTAAATAAAGCAGCTTGATAAAACTCTATACCTAGAACTACCATCATATGACCCAATTGAGACATTGTAGGATAAGCTAAACTTCTTTTAATGTCTTTTTGAGTAAGAGTCAAAGTAGCTTCTAGTAATGATGTTATTATACCTATCAGAGAAATAAGATTTATCATGTAAAGTATGACTGAAAAGAGAAAGAATCCAGGCTACAAAGAAAAGTTTCTGCCACTACCATAATAGCATCTTGTGTATAAGAGCTGAAATGGGGTAGGTAGGTCCTTCCATGGCATATATGAAGGGGGAATTGTGAAGATATAGAAACTGTACTGTGAAGCTTCTGAAACTTAATTGTATAACCTCTTGTCATAACAGTCTTCAAAAAGCATAAGGTTTCTCAGAGATAGATTTGTGAAAACCATGCCTTTGTCTTTCTGCACTTTCTGGATTTAATTTTTAAAACATCTAAGCCGGTGCAGACAATAGCAGGAGAAAAGGTTTTCATGCTATATTATTTGATCAGCCAATGGTATGTAAGACAGATGCTTTGGCTTAGACAAGGAATGAATAGAAATCAGTTGGTTTGGAGGATTGTCCCCAATGGAAATTGGTAATTGTAATGTGCAAGTTAATTGAGTGGTTTATGGGGGTAGGTGGCAGGGTCTAGCCTATTAAATGGGGGTGCTTGGCACAATTTTTGTTCTATCATACCTCATTCTTCATCATAATAAATCAATAGAAACTATAATTATATTCTGTATTCATGTTTGATTTTATGTCTTAGATTCTGTACAGTTTGTATTTGTTAAATTTACATTTTTTAATAATTAGTTAAATGGACATTCATTCATTATGGTGATTATGTTGTCTTGTAAAACAAGGTTGTATTTATATTCTTTTGATAAAGCTGTATCATTTTTACTTTTGTTCTGCCTTCTTATTCACTTTCCAATACGAGAATATATCTTGTTGCTTATAGATCTATTCTAACATTCTGATTTTGTTATAGGGAAAAGTTGAATTCGGTGAATTTGCTCCTATATATGTCTCCAATTTCTGTTCTGGTTTTGTTGTCTGCAACGATAGTAATGGAGCCAAATGTATTAGATGTCACTGTTTCACTTGGAACTGAACACAAATTCATGTGGCTACTTCTTTTGGTGAATTCTGTGATGGCCTATTCAGCAAACTTGTCCAACTTCTTGGTGACCAAACATACAAGTCCATTGACACTCCAGGTCTCATCTTTCTTATCTTCTTTTTGCATTATGGTTTTTCTCCATTGATTGCTGAAGTATGCTATTTCTAGCATATATTTTCATTTGACTGCTAAGCAATTTTGTATAGAGCAGATACGCTATAGGTTCACTAAGAAGAGTTTTACATTATCTTACTTAATCATATATGAGCTGAACATACTTACAAGTTACAATTAGATAAATGGTGATTTTGTCACAAATTTTGCCAAGGTTCTGTGGTCACATCCTTTTGAAGTTGCTTAGACTATACAGTTTTGAGATATTTTCTAAGATATGGAGATTATGTCTCATGGATTTTGTGTTTGGTTTTGTACCTTCTCAAATTCCCAACTTTTACATTAATTTTATTGCAAAACTACATGGATAAATGTTTAAACCATGATTCAAAGTATCAATGCGCTTAATAGTTAATACTGAAAAATCAGTATCGAGCACTTCTAACCATTTATATTTTTATATAACTTCAGTTTTAGTCAATGCCCATTAGATTTCTTTTATTACTCATCTATTATTATTTTTTAAAGTTGTCAGTTGTCTCAAATTCCTTTTATTCCTAAAATGGTTTAGGTTAAGTATGACTACAGAATTATTTAGAGACTATTCTTTTGACATTTGTTTTTGGAATCCAGGTGCTGGGAAATGCAAAAGGTGCTGTTGCTGTTGTTATCTCAATTTTCCTGTTCCGGAATCCAGTAACTTTTATTGGAATTGCAGGATATTCTTTGACTGTCCTTGGTGTGGTTGCCTATGGTGAAACAAAGCGACGGTTTAAATGAATGATTTAACACATTCATCATGTTTCAACACTCAGTTTTTGTGTGTGGTTCCAAAGAGTGGGATAGAGAGCTGTAAATCCTCAAAGAAGAATTTTTCTCACCACACCAGTAGGAATTAAATCCTTGTCCTTTCATGTATCCAATGAGACATTTTTTCCCTCTAGAATTTTCATATTTTGTTATTTCCACTCTTACAAACATGCATGTATTATTTTGCATTTGCAAAAGTTACTTTCTGTGACTCACACTTAATTGCATTGTGACATCGGAATTTGCAAACTCTGTGACTCACATACAATCAAAAGTTACTTTCTGTGACTCACACTTAATTCTGCCATGTGCAAACTCTGTCAATATCCTTAGTAGTTGTGCATGTATGTAGCCAGTACTCAGAACTCAGAAGGAATTGAACCTACTTAGGAGATCAATGCTTTGGGATGTTACAACCACCAAAATATCATATTCTTCTGTGAATTGCAAACGGGGTAACGTCTGAAGGTGCAGTAAGCTGGTAAGGCAATTTTATTTACTAGCATGCAGAAAATAGAAAAACCTCTGAAGCACTCGTTAAAGATGAATCTGCAGACTAGACTGATTTACAGAAAGGTCTGGAATTTGATTATGTCAAAAGGGTTTGGAGGGAAAGCTCGAAACAAGATATCCTAGTCTTCTAACTCAATTCAAAAGGGTTTGTGGCACCTTAAATTAAGATTTTCGGATGTCACATGGACAGGGTCTACCTATTTTTCATTACTTTACATTTTACAAGGTGTAATTAAAACTTTAACAACATTAATGATGCATTTGTGAGGTGTTGTTTTATCATTTATTCACATTCTTTGCTTCATGGTGCAGTTGATGCATCATAGATTTTGCATTGTATTTAATGTAGATTTTAAGCTCAGTTTGGAAGAAGTACAAATACAAATAGGTACAACGCAAAACCTAGTATTTTATATTATTTTGTATGTATTTTGTACTGTACATATTTGTATTTGTATTTCTTCCAAATTGAGCCTTAGGCTATGTTTGGTTTGAAGGAAAAAGGTAGAATGAGAGTTAAGGACATGGAACACAAAGAAGGAAGGCGAGCAGTGGTTTGTAAGGAGTGAAGTGGGGGAGAAGATGACGTCAAAGGAAAGATTCCAGCTGGCGACAAAATGGAGGATGATATTGGCTGTGGAAAAGGAAAGGTTTCTGCTGGAAGAAGTCGGAGGAGGTTCTGCAATTAAAATTAGAGAAGGCAAGAGATCTGTTGTAGTCTTGGGGAGGGAAGCAGTCTATTGGTTTAAAGGTTTCCTTGATGGAACAATTTTTGCAATCACAAAGCCTGAATGGAAAGGAGAATTGGTGAAAGGTAGGAAGAAATTCTCGGTGGAGAAGAAAAGCAACAACAGGGGAACCTATATTCAGCTAACTGAAGCGTTTGGAAATGGAAAGAGGCAAGTGGTTTGCATACCGGAAGGAAAAAAGAAGCAAGGTTGGATTTTGATTGCTGGTGCTCTCGATGACTTCGAACAAAGAAGGTGGGGATTGGAAAGAAAATCAGCCCCCCTCCTAACGAAAAATTAGTTGCTGATAAGAGCCTAGCAGTCTCACAGGTTGGAGAAAAGGAAAAAGAAAATCTAAGAGGGATCAGTGGAACTATTGGGTAAAGAAAAAGGTGATAAGCCTCAAGGGGGAAGTGATGGACTGGAATGGAATCCTAGCCGATGTCATGAAGATGATTCCTGAGATTGAACATGCGTTCCTCTTCCCGTTTGAGAAGAAGGCTGCTATCTTGGACCTTGGTCGCCCTCTTAAGGTGCTAAGATACAAACACGGGAAGGTTGGGCTTTGCTTCAGAGTTGGTTCCCATCCTGCAATGAGCTCATGATGGAAGAAGAGGAGGCTTTACAAGTAAAACTGATTGGGCTTCTCTTCAATCTTTGGAAGTAGGAAGTCTTCTCCAGAGTGGCAAATCTCTGTGGAGGATCGCTCACTGCAGTGAACCTTTCATCCCTTCAAGCCACTAAGATCAAGATTCAGGGTTCTCATCTGCAGAGAGTTCCAAGGTTCATTGAGATTTCTTCTGGCAGATGATGGTGGAGACCTTTCATCCCTTCAAGCCGCTAAGATCAAGATTTAGGGTTCTCATCCGCAGAGTTCCGAGGTTCATTGAGATTTCTTCTGGCAGAAGATGGTGGAGAGTCTAGCTAGATTTGGAAGTTGAAACGGTGCTTTGGGAGAAAGGCAAGGAGGTTGGAGAAGATGGTGATGTCCAGAGTGATGCCAAGTGGACAAGAGTTTAAGGAAAATCAGTAGAATTATGTCGGTTTTGCTATAGAAGGCAAACCGTCAGGTCTTAAGTCATTAAAGATGGGTTCTTCAATTTTTTTTTGAATTTCGCCATCCAGTCAGACTGACGGCTAAACCGTCATTCGCGGATATTTTGAGGGATGGGGGTGAGAAAGCTGGTCCACCTGCTGAACCTAAGTTGAACCGGCATGCCAAACCGCCTGTTGAGCCTGGGCCACGTGATAACTTAAAGTGCACATGCGAAGCTTTTAATAGGACGATGGGGGATGGCATTTTCGATCTATCATCGTCCCCATCGTCCCAAGGCAGCCGAATTGGTTCAAAGATCTCGCAACTGTAGTGGAAATGTCGAAACAAGCCAAATCCTCGATATGAAAGGTCGAAGGTGGACTGGAAGGACAACGACAACAGTATTGAGGATTGTTGGGTTCGTTGTGAGAACTCAGATGATGGTTTCTCCTTTGAAGATGATTACAGTAGCAAAAACTCAAACGTCGGACATACTATTCAGGTCATTGTAGAGAGTGGTGATGAACTTCAAATAGGTTCTCTCTTTGAAGAAAAGGAGGTAGCAATACAAAAGGGAAAATCACATGTTGAAGACGTTCTTCTTTCGACTACTATCTTACGACCGTTATCGATTAGTGGTGTGAAGGATCGTCCAATTTTTCAGGATGGGATTAGAGGTGCCCAAGGGGGTAAGGAATTAATCCCAGGTGAGGAACAGGAGAATGATGACAAAATGGTGTTATGACAGGAGAACCAGGAGACTACAGAAGACTCTCTGGGAGGAGGTACAAGCTCTAGTTTGGCCAAGTCAAATATCCCTTTGAGGCCTTCCCAACTAGTTAGAACTGAAGTTGGGGGTTTGGAGAATTTCCAAAAGGAACAAGGCACCAAAACTCTTGTGTCTAAGATGTTTGTCATTTCTTCTCAGCATTCTAGTAACTTCGATAATACTGTTGGTTTAATTTTTTATGCTAACTTGTGTTATATTGATCCTACCGTATATCCATATCCCATCCAAGGTCATGATCTGCCCATGAATCCACCAAAATGAGTGAATGCGAGAGAGATAATAGGAGAGGTAGGAGGTGAGGGTGTTTTTGAGGCTTGGGGTGATAGGAGGCAGAAGGACAAGGAAGGTGCAGAGATTGATAGGGGAATGGGTGTAGGGCTGGAAGAGTCTTAACTAAGGGGAAGAAAGAAAAGGAGGCAGGAGAAAGTAAAAGAAATCAATGTGATCAGAGTGCTATGGATCCTATGGTGGCTATGGCTGAAAAATGGGGCTAAAAGTGGAAAAAATCAAAGAAAATGAGTATCAAATGGGGGCAAGAAAAGAAAATGGGGGTAAGAGGAGAAGGAAGTTAAATGAAGTTGAAAAACTCATTAGTGATGTGGAAGGGGATAAGGAGTTCAGTGCTACGGGAGGAATGAGAAGAGGAGGTCTATAGGATGCAGGGAGGCTGGTTTAAGAATAATTGTAATCATGAAGATTGTTAGCTGGAATCTAAGGGGGCTAGGCAGTGCCACAAAAAGAGTAGTAGTCAAAGGGGTATTGAGGAAGGAGATACCTGATTTTGTTCTAATTCAAGAATCCAAAATTCAAGAAGTTGATAAGAAGTGGATAAGAAGTGTGTGGGGAGAGAGGATTATTAATTGGAGCTTTGCTCCATCTTGGGGTGCCTCGGGGGGTATCATAACAATGTGGAGGGAAGAAGCAGTTCAATGTTTGAAAGAGCTGGTCGGCAGATACTCAGTTTCTATTAAGTTGAAGGATGTACAAGATGAATTTGAATGGGTTCTCATGAATGTCTATGGGCCAAAATCATATAAAGAAAGAAAGAAGTTGTGGGAGGAGCTTGGAGATGTTAAGGGTCTCTGAGATGGACCTTGGTGTCTATGGGAAGATTTCAATGTATTTAGGTATGTGAGTGAGACAATAGGAGGTAGGCAAAGAACCACAATGAGTATGAAAAAGTTCAACTCCTTTATTGAAGCTTTTGAGTTAAGAGATTACTTTTAGGCAATCTTGTTTTACTTGGTCAAACCTTCAAACTTTCCTTATCCTATCCAAGCTTGATAGGTTTTTAGTCTCACCTAACTGGGAAGAACATTGGCCAGGTTTAATTGGTAGAAATCTACCTAAGGTCACTTTAGACTGGCCACATGCAATGTGGGAAGGCTAGAAGTTCCTTAAGAAGCTCCAATTGTTAATAAAGGAGGTCAAGGAATGGAATAGGGTGAAGTTTGGGAGATTGGAGGAGAAGAAGGTGGAGTTGATTTTTCAAATAGAAGCAATAGATAGCAAAGAGGTGAAAGGAAGTTTAGTTGTTGGTATAAGGAGTTAAGGTGGAATTTGAGGAAAGAACTAGGGGAGACCTTATTGAGAGAGGAAATTTGCTGGAAGAAAAAGTCAAGAGAAAGATGGACCAAAGAAGGCAACAAAAATACAAAAATTTTCTATACCATTGCAAACGGAAGGAGAAGGAAGTGCATGATTAACTCTTTAGTGGTGGGGGAAATTGACATCACAAATCAAGATGAGATTGCTAAAACTTTTGCAAAGCATTTTAGATCAATTTATAGAAGACCCCTAAGTGAGAGGTGGAGGATTGAAGGCTTTGATTGGGAGACTCTGGATGAGAATCAAGTCCAATTTTTGGAAAAAAGGTTTGAGGAGGAAGAGATTAAGGATGCAGTTTTTTTTATGGACAAATCAAAATCTCCAGGACCCGATAGTTACACAATGGCTTTCTATCAAGATTGTTGGGAGATAATTAAAAGAGACTTGGTCAGGATGTTTAATGAGTTCTACAGGAGAGGGGTGATAAGTCCAGGAATGAATTCTACTTTTTTAGCTTTGATTCCAAAAAAGAATAATGCCAACCATCCAGAGGATTAGACCAATAAGTTTGGTCACCAGTATTTACAAGTTGATTGCAAAGGTGTTGTCTCTGAGGATTAAAAAGGTGATCTCCCATTTAGTTTCTCAAGCTCAAGGGGCCTTTGTACAGGATAGACAGATTAT